CTGTGCAGGGAACTTTGCAAGTAAAGAGGATATCACACATGTCATCAAGTCATTCAAGGCTCACCATCGATTCCATTCCTTACATTTTTGGTAGTTTCTTTATCATGGCAGCAAGATACACATGTATAGGCTTTCACTTCAAGTGGCAAAGACATAAATGTATGCAAGGTAAAAACTTTCCTGAATAGCACTCTCTGGTGGCCACTGCTTACTACCTTTAACACTTATATTTGTTCTATCACTATTAGCTTGATATATTTATGTTTTAATATTCAATTTATCAGTATGAACTAGTGATTCTGGTTTCCTTGTAAAATATTAATTTTGTTTTTCAGAACTGGGGATTGAACTCAAGCCCTTGCACTTGCCAGGCAATTGCTTATTCTACTGAGCTATCTCCCTGGCCCTTACAATATTAATTTATTAACACCCATAATATTTCCTTCTTTTTTTCCATCCATCTCATGGAATTTTTTATTTATTTTGACTCAGCCAAGATATGCCAAACTAATAATAGGGAGCATCTTTAAACTCTTTCTAGATCTTCTGTTCTGGTGATTTATGGTTATTTTTCTTTTCATTTTAGCAGGACAGGGTCTTTATGCTGAACAACATGCCCAGATGCCCCCTTATTTTCTTAACAAGATAAGGCCTTGCTAAATTTCCCAGGCTCACAAAGTTGCCCAGGCTTGGTTTAAACTTTTGATCCTCTGACTTCAGGCTCCCAGAGTGCTGGGATTGTAAGAATGTGGCACTAGGATTTCTTCCCAGAAGGGGCAGAAAGCAAGTAGTTTTCATCTGCTACCCTTCAGCTCCATGTTCTAAAAATTCTGTTCCAGGCAAAGGTGCCCCAGAGATCTGGGGAGCCCCTTCCAGCAGCTAGTTGCGCTCAAGAGGCAAGAGCTCTGACCAGGCACAACTAGCCAAGACCAGCGGGCAGGATTACCTGTTTTAGGTCACTTCTGAAGCAGAGATTCTACCTTGGCAGAAAAGTTCTAACAGACCAAGGGTTACAACAAGTTGCGTGCCTAGCACACAAGCCATAGAATACAGACACAACTAGGAAAAAAAAAAAAAAAAAAAATCAAACCATTGCCCTGGCCCTTCTCAAAGGCAGGGGGCTCTGCACATGCCAGAGAGGGAGATCATAAGCAATTTCTATGACTGATTTTATTTAGAACAGAAAATGGCTTAGTCTATGCCTAATGAGATAGATGATCAAAACTACAGACTTTGGTGGAAAGCAGATAAGATAAGGCAGCTGGCTCCCTGACAGTATCAAACAGAAAATAAACAAGCCAGTCAGAAGCTTAACAGAAAAGCAGCAAAGAGCAATACGGGAGAACCTCCTAGACTCAGGACAGAGTGACAAGACAGGCCTGGCACAATGCCTATGAAATGGTCTATTCTGCCTGCATCATACCATGAAACACTTTGTGGCCCATAGCTTTGTCTAAAACCATAATCGTTTGGTAATTAGTGAAAAGTCTGCTAGTGTAGACCAGAACAAACTTAGCCAGGAAAAAAAGGGAAGAAACATTTGAAGTAGACCCTACCAACCTGCTGTCAAGCTTTACGCCCAAGGATATGCTCTCTGACAGGCAACATCAAAAGACTACATTACGAGAGGAAATAAACCATAGTAAAATAATCCAGCTCCATCACTGATCATAATATAAATCCATGGAAGAGGGGATACAATTTTAAGTTGTTGCAAAATGTCATCTAAAACGTGCAGTTAACAATACAAAATTATGAGGCATGCAAGTAATCAGTGAAGCATAACATATACCAAAAAATATACAGTAGAATTGTCCTTGAAAGGGCCTTAATGTCAACCTTAATAAAAAGGCACCAAAGCAGCTACTGTAAATGTGTAATGAACCAAAGTTAAAATGCAAGGTCTTCTGTTTGATTCCCAATACCCACAAAAAACAAACTAACAAAAACCCCACTATACTGTCTAATATTCTGAAGAGCAATCCAGAAGACATGAGTTTTTGCTGTAAAAGTCATCAGGAGCCACTGAAGATTTCTGTATAGAAAACTGGTACATTCAAAACAATCTTGCTACTTCCATGACACCAACATTGCAGACAACAGATGTACCGTACCCCGGACAATGATGCATCTATTCTCTCTATACTGTCAGGGCGCGGCGGCACACACCTGTAACCCCAGCACTCAAGAGGCTGAGGCAGGAGGACTGCCTCAAGTGTGAGGTTCCTCTGAGCTACATGGTATGTTCAAGACCAGCCTGAACTGTATAGCAAGACTGTCTCAAAAAAAAAAAAAAGCATCTCTGCATGCTTACATTTTGAACTTCAAAAACTATATTCACAGATAATAAAATCATGTACACAGAAAATCCTAAGCAATCCACTACAAAACTATTAGACCTAACCTATGGTTCAACAAGATTGCAGGATACATGACTATATGATATACAGTGGTACCTTGGTTCATGAACTTAATTTATTCCACAATTCTGGAAAAGATGGCCATGTTCGTGCTCTTCGTGGGGCAGGATGGCCATGGTTGTATTCATCACCCCATGCAGAGTCACAAACAGTCACAAAAATTGGCCAGTCTCTTCTGTTTACAAACCAAACTGCTCACAAACAGCATTCGTTAACTGAGGTACTACTGCAATATGGTGTACAGTGATATTCTTAGCCGAAAGCTGCCAATGTCCTTGGAATTTCTGAGTGACAGGGTAACACTGGGTCCTGCTATTCATAGTAAGTTCCTTTCAATCATGCCTGAGATTTTACTAATGAAGTGGCTCTTGGAGGAAGCTAGATGCTAAAGGAGCCATCCACATGATTAGAACGTCAAAACTTTTAGCCCTCCTCTTGACCTCTAGGGGGGAGGGAGGAAGGCTGGAGCCTGAGTTAATCACTAATGGCCAATGATTTAATCAACTGTGTAACACAACTTCCATTAGAGCCCTAAACAACATGCTACACAGGCAATAATGCACCCCAACTCCACAGGGACAGAAACTACTGTGCTGGACCTCAACTCGCACATCCTTCACCTGCTGTTCATCTGTATCTTTTAGAATAAACTGAAAAGAAAAACGTTAGTGGGTTTCCCTCAGTTAATTACACTAAATTGTTAAACTAGATAAGGATATAGGAAGCCCCCATCTATCACCACATCAGAGACAAGTGTTGATGGTGCACGGACTGACTACTTTCAATTAGCATCCAAAAGTAGTGGGGGGGAGGGGTCAGTCTTGTGGTACTTAACCTGTGAGATCTGCACTAACACCGGCAAAGCTGCTGCCAGAACTAAATTGTATCTAGTCAGCAACCATAAAATAGAAGAGGTCAAGAGGAGGGCTAAAAGTTTCAGTGTTCTAATTATGTGGATGGCTCCTTTAGCATCTAGCCTCCTCCAAGAGCCACTTCATTAGTAAAATGCTTGATGAAGAAAACTCACAAACTTGAGGGAAGATGGTGTAGTGGTTGGTGGACAGCAGAGAAACAATCCCTTGGAGATCTGGTGTCCATACACTGGAATCTGGCAACATGAAGAAGAGGAGGAGGAAAGCAGGTCCCTGGGACCCAGCAAGGCTCTGAAGTGAGAACTGAAGCCAAAGGGAGAGCAAGAAGGGAATTATATATAAATGCAGGAGCTGGCAAGACACTTTCTCTGAGTCTGGAACTCATGCATCAGTGGGGCGGCTCAAACATGCAGCTGCACAATGACTCCTGACAACTCGAGGCCACCAAGGAAAGGCAGCAGTGAACACAGCAGACCACAGTGGCTGGTGAGTCACTCAGGTTGAGATGACCTCCCAGAGGTGGCCACTGTAGACAGGGGCCAACTGAGCATGGAACTCGGAGCAGCCGAGAACTCGCTCCAGCTAGTGGACGCCACCGCCAGAGTGCGGTGGAACAGACCTCAAGGGGGCAGGAGGCCAAAGACCAAGCTGAAGCTGGTGGAGGTTACAGGCTGAACATATGAGGCTGCAACCACCTAGCCAGAAACCAGCCTGAACTTCACTGGAACGGAAGGCACGGGCTTGCTGAGACTATCCACTACCCCATAGAAACTCCGCAATGGGTTTGCTGGGATGAGCAGATGTGGGCTCCATACAACAGCAGAGACATGCCTGAAGCTGACATTTTTTTCAACCAATAAACAGAATATGTGGACTTTTTATACAATGGAACACTGCATAGAGAAGGGTAAGCCTGAGACACTGCCAGCTAAACGGGTGCACCCTTGAGACCACATTCTTGAGTGAAGTAAATGGGAGACACCTGTGTGGATACCACAGTTTCTGTGCTGTGAGAAACAGCGAGTAAACAAGGACCAACATGCATAACAGGTATCGTGAAATATGAAGAAAATGTTCCAACGGCAAGGGGCACTAGGGAATGGGGAACGGGAAAGGAAGGGGAAAAAATATGAAAAAAGGAAAAATGGAAGCAAAGCTTTTGTAAGTAACAAGGGGAAGAGGAGTTGAAAGAAGGGTAGGGGAATGGAGAAAAAAAACACAATTGTGTCAGTACAGGTACAAATTCCCTACAATGCAATCATTATGTATCCTTAAATATAGCAATAATATACTTTTCAAAAAGATTATGCACAGTGACAGTGTATTTATAAAACTATATTATCTCAATTCAATCACCTATAATGCAAATAAGTTAGCTGTCACTAATGTCAGTTTAAAGAATATTTAACAATAGCCCAAATTCTCATTTTCTTATTTCCTATTAGGAACCCATATATAAGATGCAAGGGGAAAAATGCCTTAATACCAGATATCTGGGTTCTTTAAATATCTTGCTGTTTTTTTACTAGCCATTTTTTAAATAAAGCAATAGGGACACCCTCTAAATCTCTTTGCTAATTTCTTGTGCCAGTTCCTCATATATAAATAAGAATAGCCATCACATCTAAGCAATTCCTACCCATACCTGTAGAATTTCTACGGACAAAAAAAGCAACAGCAGCAGGAGATATATCACAGAAAAATTCATGTCTAGTGACATAAAAAAATGGACAACCCCACTAATTACCAAGAAAGTAAAAATGAATACAGTATCATTTCTGCTATCAGGTTTGTAAAAAACTTTTATCCTTAAAGAGAAATATAATAATAAAAAAATTAGAGGGGTAAACTACCCGTTCGGGCCCCCCCACCCCCATTTCTCTCTCCGGACAGGAGCTTTCTTTCTCTCAATAAATATATTCTGCTCATAACCTCTGTCTGTTCCTAAAATTCATTCTTCGGTTTTAGAGAACACGCACTCGTACAGGTCAGGTCCAGAGATCATTTCTCTGTATGTCATTTGGAGGTTCCCTATATGGTTTGGAGGTCACCCACCCGAGACCAGTTTTTCTCCCTGTATTATTTTGGAGTTTCCCACCAAGATCATTGGACGGAGGTATTATGAGTTTGCTTTTCTTTCATAAATTCTGAATTGGGACTTGCTTAGGTAACAAATTTGTTTCAAATGTTGACCATAGTTTGGTCCCACCTCATGCCCAACTAAACAAGTTCCCATGTCTTCTCCACCACCTTAGACCCGCCTCACCACATGGGTTTCCTCTATAAAAGTCCCCGCAAGAGACAACTTCCTGGGGGGAAACTACCCGCTCGCCACCCCCCCTCCTGTCCCTCTCATGGGACAGGAGCTTTCTTTCTCTCAATAAATACATTCTGCTCATAAAAAAAAAAAAAAAAATTAGAAACAATACAGAATTTCACTAAACCAAATGACAGGAATTCAACAATGGTTGTTACATTTCATATTGTTGTCTTCAAATTAGTTGTTTAGATTACCAGATATAAGCTGTAAGATTGGTTTAAAAAAGTATAAAAAGAGCTGGTGAGATGGCTCAGTGGTCTAAAGCACCTACTTAGAACAAGCTAAGCTAAGCAAAGCACAGGGACTGCGGTTCAATCCCCCAGCACCACATGCCAGCCAGCCCCACCCCCTGGTGGGCTGAGCTGGCCATGCACACACAAAATAAATAAACAAAAAATTAAAGAAAAAAAAAAGTATAAAAAGCTAAAAAGGTGAAGAAAAATTAAACATTACTTCTTTCAACAGAAATCAGCAGTATAATCATTCAAAGCAATTCTACGTACATGCATGTACTGTTTTTGCCCTTCCTTCTTTCTTCCTTTCCTCCATTGCAGCTGTTCCTTCCCTCAGAACAGCCAATTTCCCTTTCGCAGTATCCACTGCACCTTTGAGATCCTATTTACTCTTTTAGATTCTTATACTAGGGAGACAATACAATGTTTACAGATGTGGGTCTGGTTTATTTCACTTACAAGTTTGGTCTCCACCTGCATCCATTTACCCATAAAAGTCTTGAGTTTATCTTTTTTATAGCTGAGTTACACTCCACTGTCTAAAAACACATTTTTTTTCCATTCCTCACTCAGTTGATGGGCATCTGGGTTGTTCCCAAGACTTAGTTATGACAAATTGCACTGCTATAAACATGGGTGCGCATATATCACTGTGGTATGATGTTTTCAGTTCTTCTGGAAAAATACTCAAGAGGGCAATAGCTGGCTTAAAGCGGAGCTTCAACCCTGGTTTTTTGAGTCATCTCCCTCCACATTGATTTCCATAGTGGTTGCACCAATCTGCATTCCCACCAACAGTAGAGAAGGATTCCTTTTTCTTCACAGTTTCTCTAGCATTTGTTATTGGTTGACTTTTTTAAAAAATGTATTTGGTTGTTGCAGGGTCTCATTATGCAAGCTCGGACTCATGGCTATCCTCCTGCTTTCAGCCTCCCCCAGTGCTGGGATTACAGGTGTACTGGGATTACAGACATACTGGGATTACAGGCATGTACCACCATACCTGGACTCTGGCCTGGCTCAGCCTGTCCTGGGGGCAGGGCTGGAATGGCATGTGATGCCTGGGATGGAACCGCCATCCCTGCACTTGCCTAAGAAGGCGATTTAGTCCACCGGTCTAAATCGGAGCTATCTCACTGGTCCCTTGGCTGACTTCATGTATTTATTTGCTTTTGTACTTCTTTATCTGAGAAATGTGTACTCATCTCATATACCCATTTTTTAAATTAGATCTGTGAATTTGGGGACCTGATTTTTTAAAAAATTCTTTATATGTTGTGGATAGAAGTCCTTTGTTGCCACCAGTTTTGGGTTTTTTTCAATGAAAAAACTCAAGTGTTGGCAAAGATACAGGAAACAGGATAGCTCTTGGCATTATGGGGGAAGTACAGCCAGGCTTGAGGGCAATCTGACAGTACCTAACAAAAGCTGAACTGTGAATTTCTATTACCTAGCAAAACCTCTTAAGAAATTTGCCCTGGAGAAAGTTTGGCACATGTGTATATTTACTGTTGCCTTCTTTATTTTGTTACTTAAGTGGACTACTGTGACAAGCCTAAGCATTTCACTGGCCCTCAATCAATGCTAAAAAATCTCTTTAACAAATATTTACTAAATAACAGCTCCCAACCTGATGCTTCAGTACACACTCAGTAAGATCTTCATCCAGTGTAAACAAAGGCTAACAAGGAGTTTTATCATGTAAATGCTCTAATGCTGCTAGACACGTACAAAGATAGCGCTATACACACAAAGCATTCCTATCTGGAAGGAGGAAGTCACTGCAGTAGAGTGGTTGCAGGTCATTTTTGTCTAAGTAGAACACGAACTGCAGGCAGTAACTACAAGCTGCAAAAGCATGGGTATGTAAACAAGCAAAAGGGAAAGCACAGAAAACTGAGTATATACTGTAGGTTAAATAAATAACCTCAAAGGTATCAGGCTGTAATCTCTGGAACCTGCAAATGTTACCTTATTTAAAGAATCTTTGCAGATGTGATTAAGGACTGTGTGACAGGAAGATGATCCTGGATTATTCAGTGAGCCCTAAATACCAGGGCACAAATATCTTTATAAGGGAGTGGTGGAGGATTTGACACAGAGCAGATAATGTGAGGATAGAACGAAAAGATTTGAAGATGCTTCCATAAGACTGAATTAATACACAGATCACCAGCAGGCAACAGAAACTCGAAAAGGCAAGAGAGGGACCCTTCACTAGATCCTCCAGCAGGGGCAAGGCTCTGTTGACACCTAGACTTCAACCCAGTGACACTGACTTAAACTCGGGGCCTACATTTACTGCAAGAGAAACCATGAACGTGTGGTGGCTTGGTGGAGCAGCCTTAGAAGCAAAAGCAATCCCTCCCACCACCACACAGGTACTCTGTGCTAATAATAAGCAAGTGATTTAGACACCACCCAGATCTCTGAAGAGTCTACCTTTAATTCAGTAGAAAGACAAATCAGACTTGTTTCACAATGTTGAATCTGGTGCCAATGTTGACAACTAGGGGAAAAAGGAACTAGGAACTGGAAACACATTTCAGAACTAAATCCAGATAAAAGCAAGGAGTTCTGGATAAACAGGTAATTGAGAAAAAACACCTCTATAAAAGACACAGAAGAAGGAAAGCGGAACTTCAATGAAAATAAAAGTAAGAAAGGGGGAGAAATTTTAAATATGTACATGTAATTAACATTTTCAATGAAAAAGCAACTTATTAACATCCAGGAAATAAGATCAAAATGCTCTATAGAAGAAAAATAGAAAACTTGCAAATTAAGAAAAGCACTTAAAGTTTAAAGGTAAATACAAGTACCACAAAGTAAGATGTAAACTAATTCACTGAAAGGCAAAAAAAAAAAAAAGGTAGAGAACAGTCAAAAATTTCACTCTCACTTTTAAAAATGAGGTGTCAAATTAATCCAAGTGCCACTACAAAAAGTTCTAAGGAAAGAAAAGAGAAGAGGCAAAAACAACTGAAGGATGCTGTCAAAACATCTTAGGGCTGACCACTGCGCCTGTCAGGCTTAGGGTAAGCAACTGCAACACAGCCCACTAATTTCTCAAAGCTCTAAATACAGAAATGTCCTAAAAGCTTCCCCCA